ACAGAAACAGGGAGGAGGTTGTTATACAGAATGGAGTTTCTGCAATTCTCTGCCCAGGAGATTTTCTGGGCAAAAGGGCAAAGAGAGGGCCCACCTCAATCAGAAAACTTGGTTCCTCCACTCCACACATCCAGTTCCAGCCCTACAGACAGAAACATGCCTGAATTTCAGTGGGCTAAAGGTGCAGGCCTGCTGGGATTACCCACTACCCTATCCTAAAGCTATGATTAGCTTGCTGGGATTAATTAACTTGAAACTGCCCAGGTATGCTGCCCAGGTTGTCCACCAGTGACAGCAGAGACGTGTCTTGAAGTGGACATTTTTTCATATTTTCTTCTTTTTTAACATTTCTATCCTTGGTTTGTCTGTTTTATTTATTTTATTTTTTAATTTTTTTGGTGGTCCCAGGGATGGAACTCAGGACCTAGCAAGTTCAGCACCACTCCCTGGCCCTATTTTGCTTTTTCTTGATTGTTTGACCTTATTTTTATATGAGTGTGAACATGGCTTCTAGTCTTTTTGTTATTGTTATTTTATTCTGTTATTTCTTCTCTCTATCCCTCCTGTCTTCTTCAGCAGTTTCCCAAAGTTTTTGTGATCTTCCTTTGTCCTCTAACTTCCTTCTAATCTGCTGGGAGCACTGCCCTGTAGATCACTACGGCCAGGCCCAACTTGTACAACTTGCCTCCTCCTGCAGAAGAGGCAGGGCTCCCCAGCATGGAAGGAGGAACGTGCATCTTGTTCTCTTCCTCCTGCAGGTGAGGCAGGGCACCGCAGGAGGAGAACAGGCAACAAGAGGGTGTGGTGGAGCAAGGCCTGGCCAAGAAGAGGACTATCTTCCTTCCCACCCATTCACAGGAGGAACCATCAAGCCTTATCTTCAGAGAGATCCTAGCTGCTCTCCCTCTTCCAATCACAGTTATCCCCTTCCACCTCCCCCTGCACTTCCCTCATCTCTGCACCATAAATAAAGGTGCTGAGGATGCCAGCGAGCCCTTTTATCCCATCAGGGAAAAGAGTTTACACCTGGCCCCAGCTGTATCAGCTTTATTGTTGTCTTTGTCATTTTCTTTGTCTGTCTTTCTTAATCCCCCACTTTTGTTTTTCATTCTGTGGACCTTTCAGCCACTAATCTTTTCCTCTTCTTTTATTTCTCTATTTTTCCCCTCTAGCTTCTTTATAATTTTCTCCCCTGAGAGTAAAATTGCTATATTGAGGGCATAGTGCATACATTTTTCTGGATTGTTATCGATTTTGTTATATAATCACAAATCTAATAGGCTTTAAGGTGGCAAAATGATAGTTACCACAGTTTGTCATTCTCTAGGCTGTGTTTGATGCTATTGTTGTTGCTGATTGTACTACTTTAGCCAAAGTGACTTAATTGTTCTAATCAGTTGTTGTTCTTGGCATACCAAGACTGAGATTTCCTTAAGGCCTTAAAAAATACCATAGACCAATTCCAAAGAACTAGAGGCTAGACCAATTAGGCAACAACTTGTCATTCCCAAGAAATTGAAGTGGCAGGATCTTGGATCTGACTCAAAACCCAAAATCCAGCTATACCTGGAAGACACCTCTGAGAAGTAGTCATTTCCTAAGGGTTCTAAATGCTAGCAATAAAAAGATAAACAAAGAAATAAATAAAAGCACCAAAGCTACTTTCCATAAGCAATCTACAAGCATCAAACCAGGAATTAAACTAAACAACAATAAAAAAGAAAATGATAAGACACTCCCCCCACCCCCAATTTTCAGCTCATCAAAGGCAAACCAAGGGGGAAATGAGGTAGAAAAATTCAAAAGCCACCCACCTGGACTCTCTGCAGTGGTAACAGCGGAAGTAACAAAGCAGATGAACCAGGCTCTAGAAAAAAATAATTTTTTAAAAATAATTTTCAGATAACTACAGAGATAGTGATCATAATGAAAGATGTGATTAGTGACTCCAGAGCAGATACAGATAAAAAATAAAAATAAAGGATCTTAGGAAAATGATGAAAACAATAAACACCCAGAATAGGAAAGAAATAGAATCCATGAAACAGATTCAAGCAGATATCCAGGAGATTAAAAATTCCATTGAAAATGTACCAGCAAAATGAGCCAGTGGGAGGACAGACGTAGAATATCTGATATCTATAGAAAATAGAATTGCAGTTAGCGATCCTGAAAAGAAAGATTTCTTAAGAATAGCAAAGGAACTATGAGAAATCAATCCATGATGAAAAGAAGAATAACATAAGATTAATCAGAGTCAATTAAAAAGCAGGAGATGAAGCACAGATGACATAAAAAAACTGTTCACAAAAAGGCTGAGCTGGGGATGTAGCTCAGCACCCTTCAGTTCAACTGCTAGTACAGAAAAAAAAAAAAAGAGAAGGAGGAGGTGGAGGAGGAAAGATTATAGAAAATATTCATGAAATAGAACAAAAATAGGCTAGAAATTCAGCATGTAATCCCAGCAACTGAGGGAAACTAGGGCAGGAAGATCTCAATTTCTAGTCCCACCTGGGCAATTTAGTGAGACACTGTCTTGAAGTACAAAAAAATAAAAAAGAAAAAAACTAGGGATGTAGTTTTGTGGTAGAATGCTCCCATGTTCAATTCCTAGTTCTGCAAGGGGAAAAAAGAATTAAAATGAAATTATTAGTGGGTACTGGGGTGCTCTTCCTAAGAGTCCCTTCCAAGCTTTTGTTGTTCTGAACAAAAATTGTCCAGGAAATGAAGTAGTGAGATTTTACATTTATTAAAGGTATTAAAGATAAGTAACCAAGACATATCATGTAAAGGCACAAGATCCCAATAATAAATGTATCTGTATTGTTTGCTTTAAATACACCAATAAGCTTAACTGGGAGGGGAGATAAGAAAGACAGGGACCAGGGATTTAGCTCAGTGACACTGCACCTACCTCACAAGTGTAAGGTCCCAAGTTTGATTCCCAGTACCCCACCACGAAAAAAAAAAAAAAAGAAAAAAGAAAAGAAGGGCAAAGAAGTGACCTAAAAATAAATGCTCTACAGAGTGAGTGCAGGGCATTTAATGTAGGAAAGGCAGTATACCCATCATGGTGGGCTGGTGAAAAGGCTCACAGTAGCCACAAGCTTAATTACCACCACCTAGCCCTAAGACTAGAATGACTAAAAAACTAGAAACAATGTTCACACTCATATGAAAACAAGCAAGAAAACAACAACATCAACAAAAAACAAAATAAAGAGGAAAAACAAAGTCCCCTTCAGGGCATGTCTCAGTTGTCACTAGTAAACAGAGTGGGCAGACAGAGCCCAGATCCATGTTGATTAATCCCAACAATCCAGCCATAGATTTACAGTAGAGTTAGTGGATAATCCTGAAAAGCTTGCAGACAGTTGGTTCTACCGGCTGGCTTCTGGTTGTGAGGCTAGAACCTGATTTGTTCAGCCTTCAACACCTCCTGTGCCTCTTGCCAGTTTGAACTCTTCTTGACCTCCTGTTAACTTGAACACAGTTTCACATCATCCTGACACTGGGTGCAACTAGACGGAGCCAGCCTGCAGCTACTCTAAGTTCCAAGCTCTGTTGGGCCCTCTTCAAGATAAATATGGACCAATTGTCCTCTCTTGGGGAATGTCTGAACCCAAATAACTCAGAAGCTAGTGTATCCCACTGCACGCCCTTCTCCCTTCCACCAGTGTGTTTCTCTGAGGCACCCTTTCAGGTTACTAGTAGTCACCATGCATCTGCAGGTTCAAACTGCCCTTCCTCCTAGGCAGTGAGTCAGGGCTGAGGGAGAAAGCACCATTTGCCATCTCTTTCTTCACTGAGGTCACCGTCTTCGCTGTCCCCATGGCTTCAGTTCTCACCTCAGATCCTTGCTGGGTCCCAGGGACTCAATTCCCTCCTTCATCTCTTTATGTTACCAAATTCGAGCTTCTGGAGACCAAATCTTAAGAGAGGCTATTTCTCCTCTGTTCACCACCCACCATCTTCCCAGAAGTCTCCCCTGTTTTTCTGGCTTGTTTGTTTGTTTGTTTTTGTGAGACAAGGTCTTTCTATGAGCCCAGGCTGGCCTAGAATTCATAGTGATTTTCATGTCTCAGCCTCCTGAGTGCTGGGATTACAGGTATGCACCACCATGCCCAGCCCTCCTGTTTCCCTTTATAATCCATCCTGGCTAAAGCCTATCAGTTGGTGCCACCCAGTATGAGCCTTACTATTATTCACAGCTGGAACTATGCTAAACCAGTCAGGGGACTAATTTAGTTATCACATACCCTTAATCCATATTCATATACCCTAGATCGAGCCACCTCTGAAAAGCCTCACCTATGAGCCCCATGGTCTCAGCCCTTTTAAATTAAAAGGGTGGGGGGATTTAGCTCAGTGGTTCTGCCGCTCTAGACACACACTTCCAACTCTTTACTCAAACTTCCTATTTCATTGCCCTCTCAAACTTAGCATATCTGCAAATGAAGTCTGTGTCATAAATCCCCCCTTCCAAAACAAACAAAAACCCCCGTTCCTCTCTTAGCACTTCCTGCCTCTAAATAACAATAGCATTCAGCCAATTTTTCAAACCAAAAGCTTGGGAGTTATCCTTGATGTCTCATTTCTCTCCTTACACACATCTAATCCCGTCATCCAAATCTGACCATTTCTCTTCCCTTACTGCTACCACCCTTGTCTGTCATTTGTCCCCTAAGCTACTACAAAGGCCACTCTTGCCCTCTGTCTTAGTTACTTTCTCTCTGCTGGGATAAAATACTGGGCACCCACAAGTTAAGAGAGGAGAGGTTTGTTTTGATTCACAGTCTGTAGAGGTTTTAGTCCATAGTCGGCTGCCTCCAAGGCAGGGCAGCGTGACAGAAGGGCGTAGCAGAGGAGAAACAGTATATGATAGGGCAGACGGGAAGCAGAAGGGGATCAAAGAGGGATCAGGGGAGGAGGAAGGACATATTCTGCCCAAAAAATGTATACATACTTCAGGAAAAGAAAATAATATGTTTTTTCAACAGATGGTGTTTCCTTCTATGCGGGACCTTAGAGGATGTCTTATATCACAGAAAATCCACTACACTATGGGCCCTTAGAGAAAAAATTAAAAATGCATGTGCAGCAATCTCCATGACCAAGGTCACCCAAGTAGCAGTTTGTTGTACTAATAAATGTCTGGAAGCTAATGGTCACCACTTTGAGAATCTCTCCTAATTGTAGAGGCCAAAGGTAAGTTCATGATGTCTCAGTAAATTCAGTATTCAAATATTTATATGTTTTTCTTTTCCTGAAGTGTGTACACATTTTTTGGGCCAGGCTCACACTGACCCACCTCTCCTCCACCAGGCTTCTTCACTTCCCAAAATCACACCCAGTTAAAAACCCATCCGAGTGGACTAATCCATTGATGGGTACTCATGATCCTCCCAAAAGTTCCACCTAGGAGCCTATGAGGCTTTGGGGGACATCTAGATATAAACCCTAACCCCCTCCACAGTTTGTCCTACACAAGCACCCAGGGTGTTTCTTTGAAAATGGGAATGAGTTTATGTTGCTACTCACTCTCACCTTCACACTCAGAATAAATGTAATATCCTTACCATGGCCTGCAAAGCCTTATTTCGTCTCCCTCTACCTCTCAGCCTCACATCTGTGGCTGCATCTCTCCTCCTCCTCCCTCTCATTCACTGAGCTCCCACACACTGGGGTCCCATGAACTCATCAAGAAGAATCCCACCTCAAGATCCCTGCCACTGCTCCTTGGACCCAGACTGATCTCCCAAGTGTTTGCATGGTTATGCTCTCACGCCATTCATAGCTCTGATCAAACATCACCTTAAAGCTTTCCCCACATAATTTTTTTTTTATTCCCCAATACTGAGGATTGAGTCCAAGGCCTTTGCATGGAGCTACATCCCTAGTCTGTTTTTAATTTTTTACTTTGGGACAGGGTCTCACTACGCTTCTAAATTGTCCACGCTGGGCTTGAACTTGTGATCTTCCTGCCTCTGCCTCCCTAAATACTATGATTACAGGTGTGTGTCACTATGCCTGGCTGCTCACTCTATCCTCTTTCCCTCTTAATTTTCCACCTGTCATTATATTATAGTCATTTGTTTATTTCCTGCTTTGTAAGCTACATAAGAATGAGGACTTTGTCTCATTTGCTACTGTGGCCCTAAACCCTGAAATAACTCACAGCATAAGTAGAAAACCAGTAATTGAGGCACTGAAATGATGAATGCATGGGTCTCAGACAAGAATGGAAAGAAAGCTCTGCTTTTGAACACTCCAGGATGAGGGAATATTCCCCCCCCCCACAACTCCTAGCTTTTTGTATGCTTCATGATCACTTGAACTATGCTGTGTCCTTTTAGTATAATTTAAGACTTTTATTAGGGCGGAACCAACAAGGTGAGTATAGCCATAGATCTAGTATGCCTTAGAAGCTAGGCAGGGAGTTGCTTTCTGCAGCCATACAAACATACGAGTTTGCCTGAAAAACTCTGTTTCCTGACCCAGTAATGGTATTAGAAATGTTACCAGCTAATCCCTCAACTCCCATTTGTCCTTGATGAGTCCAACTTTTCTGATACTGTCTTCTTCTCAGTTCTATACCCACTGTCAGGCTCTGAAGTTCTGCTGTCCCAGGATCTCAGATGCCTGAATACCCAATTCATAGCCTTGAAAACTTGACAAGGTGTTGGGTGTGGTGGCACACACCTGCAATCCCAGCACTCAGGAGGCTGAGACAGGTAGATCACTGTGAGTTCAAGGCGAGCCTGGACTACATTCATAGTGAGACCCCCTACTTATCCCTCCAAACTCATTTTAGACCACTCTCCTAGCTTACAAAGCTAAAATAGTTTTTATGTTGGACATGTGGCACGTACCTGTAATTTAGCTTCTTGGGAGGTTGAGACAGGAGGATCACAAATTGGAAACCAGCCTGGGCAATTTAGTGGGATTCCACCTCAAAAAATAAAAGGGCTGTAGCTTAATTGTAAAGTAGGTTGGATCAAACAAAATGATCTTTCTTTTTTTAGACAGGGTTTCACTATGTATTTGAGACTGACCTGGAACTCACTATGTAGCCCAGACTGGTCTCGAACTCACAGCAATTCTCCTGCCTCAGCCTCCCAAGTGCTGGGATTACAGGTGTGCGCCACCATGCCTGGCCAAAATGATCTTTCTATTGCTCAGTTAACCCAAGCTCATTCTCACTTTATGACATTTGTTCTTGCATGCCCTTCTCCTGGAATGTTGTGTCGCTAGATCTTCTCATGAATGGCTTCTTTTCATGATCTTCAGAGACACTTTCCTGAAGATTATTAGTCTATATGGCAGCATTTTTTTCTTCAGAGCAATGTCTACTCTTTGTATGTTTTGTTTTTGAGACAGCCTATATAGTCCAGGCTGGCCTTGAACTCACTATGTAGCCCAGGCTGGCTTCTACCTTGTGGCAATCCTCCTGCCTCAGCCTCCCAACTGCTAGGATCATAGGCGTGCATGACCATGCCCATCCCAATGTCTACTTTTGCCCATTCAGTTTCTTTCCTTGTTTAATGTCAGGTCTCTTTCTCCTTTCTCTCTCCTCTGTCCTTTCTCTTTTTCCCTTCTCTGCCCTCTCTCTTTTTCTCCTCTGTCTTTCCCTTTCCTCTCTTCTCTGGGTTACATCCCCAACACCCAGGGCCCTCTCTGTAAAATACACTGACCAATTTACAGCCAGGCATGGTGAGGCATGCCTGTAATCCCAGCACTAGCAAGGCTGAGACAGGAGGATCAATGTGGGTGTGAGGCCAGCCTGAGCTACATGATGAGTTCAAGGACGGCCTGAACTACCTAACAAGAGCTTGTCTCAAAAAAACTTTTTTTCTTTTCCTGCAATGATGGAAGTACTTTTGTATCTGAGCTGTGCAATATAGTAGCTGCTAGTTGCCATTTGACCTCTTAATATTTGGTACATGGCCAACACAACTGAAGAAATGAATTTTAATTTTATTTAATTTAAATTTAAATCGCTACATATGGTCAGTTGCTAGGGTACTGGACACGGCAGTTCTGAGAAAGCGAATACTGAGTTTTTATTATTTTGTGCAGTACCCATAAAATCAAATACTTTTTTTTTGTATTGAGTATCGAACTCAGGACCTTGCTCTTGCAAGGCAGGTGCAGCACCATTGAGCTAAATCCCTGGCTCCAAATTAAATACTTCTGACCAGGATTTTCTCTGAAGAATGAATTCCTGGCAAGACCTAAGTTTTGTGATGGATATGACCAGCACTAAATTATTCTTTGACTTTTGCCTTAGGTACATCAAGATGAAGTTCATAGAGACGTTTTTCTTTTAAACATTGCTGGAAAGTCAGTGTAATAACATTGTAGAAAGATTTTAAAAAACAGGTAGTCTACAATTCTTCTAGCAATCATTTCAACTATTTTAATTTTTTGGTCACTGCCTTCCAAATTCTGTCTACTTGCAGATGTTTTTTTCACTCTTTCTAAAACCCAGAGGACGCCAACAAAACTTTTTCCTGTCAGGCACAGTGATGGACACCTATAAACCCAGCTGTTAGGGAGGTAGGGGCAGATTACAAGTTCAAGGATGGCCTGGACAATTTAGCAAGACTCTGTCTCAAAATAAAAAATAAAAAGGGCTGGGAATATAGGTCAGTGGTAGAGCACTTGCTTAGTATGTGAGAGGCCCTGGCTTCAATTTCCAATACCACAGAAAGTTTAAAAAAAAACCCTCTAGGTTCAATCCCAAACCACCAGAAAACAAATAAACAAAAAAACAAAGCAAACCCCAGATCTTAGCTCAGGTGTAGCCTGACCCTTGGTGTATTTTCCTTTGGCCACCCAGTGAAGATATTCACCATCACACAGACATTAAAAAACCTTGGAGCAGAGGCTTAGCCCTGCATGTAGTAGTTGGTGATTATTTGGGGAGGCCAAATATTGCAGAAAGCAGGGGCTCAGCTGATTTATTCATTAATCCAACAATTGTACTGTAGAATCTCATGAACATTTTCTTTCTTTTTACAGGTTGTAGTATTTTCCTTTTTTTTTTCCATAACTGGGTAATAGACATACCAAAATTTATTAAACTATTCTCTACTGGATTATTGAACATTTCATACCCATATTGGATCTTCCAGAATTCTGCAGTTAACTCCTCCTGTGTAGAACTTTAAACTTACACTGTACTACTGCTTTGTAGTATAGTGATTATGAGTGTTGGTTTGGGGAAGAGAGTGTCTGCTTCCTTTTTATTAGTAATTCGTGTTTGTAATACAGAGAAGTGATAGTCTATTTAGGGTACTGGTCGATGCATATTGAGAATATTTCTTCCTTTTTTTAATGGTAGCAAAACTTTATTAATGGTAGGAAAAGAAAAAAGGCTCTGCAGAATGAGTTTTGGCCAAGTAAAAGTAGAAGAGGAAGTACACCCTGCAATGTGAGGGTGGGTCGCCATGCAAGACAGAACGCAGTGGCAGGAGGATTGCTGTTAGTTAGAGGCCAGCCTGGGCTACATAACAGGACCCTGTCTCAAAAAAAAAATTAAGTCCTAACAGAAAGAATTGATGTGTGTGGAAGATTAAACAGTGGGCATCCATTTGATTAATCACATCTTTTGAGTGCCTGCTATGCTACAGGCACTCAGTGTTGGGTCCTGGGTGTACGTATAGAAGTGAGCCACGTCAGACCCAGGCCTTGTCCTCATGGGAGCTAAGAAATTGTAGATTGGCAGGAATACCTATGTAAAAATTTACAAAATTAGCCAGGCGTGGTGGCGCACGCCTGTAATCTCAGCACTTGGGAGGCCGAGGCAGGAGGATCGCTGTGAGTTCGAGACCAGCCTGGGCTACATAAGTGAGTTCCAGGTCCGTCTCAACTACATAGTGAGACCCTGTATCAAAAAAAAAAAATTACAAAATTGGGCTGTGGACATAAGTAGAGGGCTTTCCTAGCATGCATAAAGTGCTGGGTTCAGTCCTTAGCACTGCAAAAAAATTTTTTTAAATTACAGAATTATAAAACTAACTTCTGATTAGTATACAGAAAAGGTGTAAAAAGGGGATTGACCTAGAGTGGGAAGCCAGGGAAGGTTTCCTTAAGGAAGGCAGGTTGAAATACAAGTTTACTTTGCCCACTTGCTGCTGGAAATGAACAGGAGAATATGACAGGCAAGCAGGATACCCTGGGTGGGGGTGGAGAGGGTCTCTTCATCTTGGTGCTTTTAGCACCATCTGTGGTCAGA